GCCCCCCCGCACCCGTACATCGCAACCTCCTGTACCACTGTCGTGGCGCACCTCTCTCTCTCTCTCTTTCGCGCGCTCTCTCTCGCCCCGCTCCGCTCTGGAACATGGCCTCGGCTGATGCTCCGCCTGGAGCAGAGACGGTTGCCTTTCCTGGCTGTGGCTGTGTTCTTGCCGCCGCCGACGTTCTCTCGGCGCTAAGCGCCGCCTCGCCCACCGCCGTCTTTGCCCTCCGCTGCGGCCGATCGTCCTGTTCCCGCCGCATCCACATCGCCCGCCACGACCGGGAGGAGGCTGTTAGTGCGCTCCGTGCAGCCCTGCTTGGTCTTCCACCGCCTTATGCCGCACCGGCGTGGGAGGCCTTTGATGCCAGCTACCGAGAGGTCGCCGATCACGTTGCCACTCTGCAGCGCGGCCGTGGCCTGCCGGACCGCACAGCCGGCTCTCACACCACTGATGTGCCTGGAGAGCGCGTGGCTGTTGCGCCTGTTTCATCTGCTGCGGTCCCGGCTTCTATCCGGCGTCCCGTCCTGCCGCCGGCGTACGCCGAGGCCGATGCGTGCGATCCGGTCGGTCCGCCGCCGGTCCGGCTGGGGCCAGGCGCCTTGGCACCACCGCCGGACGTGGTTGGCAAGGGTAAGGAGGTGGTTGACGAGGAGGATGTGGATCTACCAGCGTATGTTGCGCCTGTTGGCGGTGGCAGTCGGCGTGACGACGACAGCGTAGAGCTGCCGGTCTACACGCCGCCGGCCGGGCCAAAGATCCACATCGGGGTGCCGGTGAGCTCACCAGCCGTGGGTAAGGGTAAGGACGAGGAATGGGATGATGACGGAGTGATGGCACTGGCCACTGCGACGGGCCCGGTGTGGGTCGATGGGCGAGTGGCGCAGCTGCTGGAAATGGGCTTTGACTATGACGGCGTGCTGGCTGCCACGGATGAGGCTGTGGCGCGATGCGGGCAGGTGGCGCCGGCGCTAGAGACAATGATCACGTTTCTGACGACGGGCGTGTGGGCTGAGGCGCCTGCTGGTCTAGAAGCGCCAGACTACGAGGCTGCGCCGCCGTACACGCCGCCATAGACTGAACGCCTGGCGAGGCCGTCGTCGATTGCTGTGGTCGTTTGTTTTTGGCGGAACAGGGTAAGAAGAGGAAGGAGAGAGTAAGAGGAGGCAGAGGTAGCGTGGCATGGCTGGTCTACTCCTGCGACGGGTTCGGCTCGGGCGCCGAGACGAGCGAGCGAGTGCAGATTTCCGGGATGTCGAGTGAGACAACAAACGAACGCGAGGCGATGAGCGAGCGGCAGACGTTGAGCGTCTGCTCCATGGCGAGCCAGGTGGGGACCCAGGCGGGCTTTGCATCTGTGGCGGCGGTAGAGGAGATCGGGCAGACTGGCGGCGCGAGCGGCGACGGCGAAAAGACACCGCGCTGAGCGAGGAGCGAGCAGAGGCTGGAGAGCGGGAGCTTGCTGAGCATCTCTGCGCACGGCGCCATGTTGTGGGCGGCGATGGTAATGTTGCGAGCCTTGGCGATGTCCACAAGATCGGGACTGTACAGGCCCGAGTCCCTGGAGATGAGGACCATGGTAGGCGGGGTGGTGACGGTGTCGCAGAGGGTGGCGAGATCGCCGGCCGAGACGTCGACAACTGCAAGCTCTCCAACAAGGCCATCCGCCACCGCCTTTGCCAGCGCCGGCCAGAGCTCTGTGAGGCGGGCAATGTCCGGGCTCGGCAGGGCAAGGGCGACGCGGGCGACTCGCGGGGCGGCGGCGATCGATTCTGCCGACGCGCACATCGGGCGGACATCCGGCGACTCGGCCGGCTCGGGTGGCGGGATGCTTGCACATGCTGCAGTGATGGCATCCTCAATCTGATCAGCTGAGGCCTTGTCTGAGAGGAAGAGCGTGACTGCGACCTCACGGATGCCCGAGAACGGTGCTGAGATGTGGGTGGTCGGCACGTGCCTGCGTCCGAGAACCACCCTTGCCGGCCCAGAGGCCACAACCTCGACGGTATCCGGCGCCGAGAGCAGCGCATCCACAGCCGCATGAAGCTGTACGAGGTGGGGGGGGGGAGTTGAGGTGTGAGTGCAAGAGGGAGGTAGGGGGGGAAGACGGGGCGGGAGGGCGGGAGGGCGGGAGGGCGGGAGGGCGGGAGGGCGGGAGGGCGGGAGGGCGTACCGACTCCTTGGGTGCACCCCATGTGGCCACGCCGGGCATGCTCATGACGTTGCCTGTGTGCAGGTCGATGTGTTGCACCCCCTCCATGGTTGTATGCTTGTATGTGGTGCCTGTGGGATGGAAGTGTGTGATGTGGGTGGTGTGGGTGAAGTGCCCCCCTACCCCCCCTGCTACACACCAGCCTGTCTGTCTGGGTCGTGTTCCTCGCACTCCCCACAAACCCGCCACCACCACCACCACGACTCGTCACGCCACCACTTGGGGCCACCATGTCGTCTCCGCGCCATCTGCAAGGCCACCCGCCTGCCACCCGGACGCACTCCTTGTGACGATACTGTGATCAATCACTAAAGCCATTGATGTGTGGAAGACGGATCGAGTGGTAGAGATGGCAATCTTTAACTGAGTTACCTCCAGCTCTGTCTTCCGTTGATCTTCTTCACCTTATGCCCGTCCCCCCCCTCCCCCCCCCCCCTCCCCCCCGCTGCCGCAGCAGTGCAGCCGACGCCATCCCCGGACCCGCACCACCTCCCTTCCCCCCCCCCCTACCCCCAACCCCGTACCCACAACACCACACACTCCATATGGCAGGGACAGCACAGACGGGCGTTGTGCTCGATATCGATGGCGTGCTGCTCCGCGGTGGCGAGGCGGTGCCTGGAGCAGCTGAGGCACTGCAGCGGCTGGCAGCGGCGTCGCCCTCACTGGCGTATGTGTTTGTGACTAATGGCGGAGGCGCGCCCGAGGCACTCAAGGCCGGCGTCCTGGCCAAGGCGCTTGGTGTGCCGGAGCTTACACCTCCTGATCGCATCCTGCTCTCATCGTCGCCGATGGCCTCGCTCGCGCCAGAGCTCGGCTCTGCCCGGGTCTTGGCGGTCGGCCGTGGGCCGTCCGACTTTGTCTCTGGCGTCCTCGCCAACTACGGCTTCACCAACGTCGTCACCGCCCAGGATCTGCTTGCCGAATGCCCGTTCCTGGTCCCACAGTGGACGTCGAATCCGTCGCTGATGGCGGCCGATGGCGCGGGAGAAGACGCGCCAGGTGCGGCTGCGCCGCCGACGCTCGCGTCTCCCGACGATCCGATCGAACCGTTCGACGCCATCCTCATCATTCATGAGCCCGAAGACTGGGGCCCGGTGCTCCAGTTGCTGCTGGACGTGCTCCTTTCTGTGGACGGCTCGCCTTCGAGTCGACGGCAGTTCCCCACGACGGCGAAGCAGCCGGTCCCGCTCTACGTCGCCAACCCGGACTTTGCCTACACCGACGCGTGGGCGCATCCGCGGCTGACTTCGGGAGCATTCCTCACCTGCCTGACGGCGCTGTATGCGCGCGCGACCGGCGGCAGCCAGGAGCTCGAGGCAACGCTGTTTGGCAAGCCCGAGGCGACGACGTACGCGTACGCCGAGGCCATGCTCCGCAAAGTCGCCGGCCTGGCGCCCGCGCTCCGTTTGATGCCATCTATGCGGTCGGCGACAATCCTGCGTCAGACATCGCGGGCGCCAATGCGGCTGGCGAGGCGTGGACCTCGATTCTGGTCCACACTGGGGTCTTTTGTGGGGCGCCCGGCGAGAACGCGGCAGATCATCCGGCCGACCACGTCGTTCCCTCGATTGTCGAAGCCGTGGACCTGATTCTGAGCAAGAGGCGGTAAAGCGCAGTAGGCCATGTACAGGGCATTGCGTTTACACCACGGTCATTCTTCTGTCCTCAAACTTGCCGCCTGCGGCGGGACCAGGGCCGCTGCCGCCGCGGCCCGAGCTGGCTCGCGAGCCCGAGCCGGCGGACATGCCGAACGACGACAGCTGCTCGCGAAGGCCCGAGCCAAAGTTGGAGTAGGCGACGGCGATGACGGCCAGGAATACGTACCTCAGGAGGACGGCGATGACGGCCATGGCGACGAGCTGCGGCCGCGGCAGTCCCGAGTACTTGGAGCGGGTGAGGAGGCGGTAGACGCGGAAGACAATGTAGGACGGCTCGAGGGCGGCGAGGACGACAAAGATCAACGTTGCCGGCTTGTTCTCGTGCCGCAGACCGAGGACCGCCACCACCACCGCTGCAATGATGAGCGGAATGGCGGCTACGTTGACGTAGAACTCGGGATCGTCGACGTCGAGAATGAGGACCAGATTGAGAGCCACAAGCACAATCTGGAACTGAAAGTCGATCTTGAGCAGCGCCAGCGCGATCTGGTATGTCTTGTACGCCGAGCGGATGGCGCGGTCGGACCCGATCCGCTTGTACACCTGCCAGCCAAAGATGAGGTACAGCTTGTACGCAAGTCCAGCGAGCACAATGTCTGCCACAGCCACCACCACCAGCTGTACAATCGCCGCGGCGCTCGACTCTTCCACAACCTGATACACAACATAAAAGGTAAAGAGCGCCGCAAAGGCCATAAAGGCCAGGACCTGGATAAAGTTCTCGTTAAGCACTCCATCGGCTGCAAAGTAGACGTAGAAGAGGAGCGAGAACAGGAGGAGCGAGCCGTACAGCACACCCACGTCACGATCATTGTCCGACGTCGACGACTTGAGCGCAGAGTTGAGCCGGAGAACCTGAAAGACCGCCACAGTCAGCGCCGCTAGCGCCACCACCATCAGGAACATCTTGGCTACTTTGGACTGTGTTGATTTGCCACGCATGACACAGCAAGCCAACCCAGTCAGAGGCCGAGGCCGAGGCCGAAGCAGAGGCAGAGGCAGAGGCAGAGGCAGAGAGGCAAAGAGATGATGCGATGCAGCAGGCGAGACGGGCGAGACAGGAGAGAGGCACACACCCGAGTTGTGCCGACAAGAACAGACCGACCAGATGATGCAAGGGCGGAGGATATGAGTACAACCACAACAACCATGCAGCCTCCTTCGCCTCCCTCCTCCCCTTGTTCCTCTCACTGACCCACACCACATCATCTATCCGCTCCACCGCGAGTGCCTCCTCTCCCACAAGTGTGTGATGACGACCACGACAGTCCTCCCCTCCCCCCCCCTCCCCCCCCTCCCCTCTCCCCCCCCCTCCCCGCTCCCCCCCCCCCCCCCTCCCTCCCTCCTCCCATGTCACGATACCCACTTCCATGCCATGCGTACAATCATGATTGCGGTCTCTCCCCGCCCGCACCCACGCTCGCTGTCTCGGCCTCCCCGCCTGCGAGTCGCGTGTGCCAGCCAATGCCGTGCACAAGCCGACACAGCTGGGTATGGGGGCTTATCGACGGGGAGGGGGGAGGGGGGGGGAATGGGGAGGGGTTGATCGACACATCAATACCATTCCTTCACTATCACTATCACACCACACTGTCACTCGATCACATTATCTGATCTGTGCAGCACCAGGCGGGCTGCACTACCTGGGCTACGGCTGGTGATTGGTAGGGGACGGGGGGGGGGCAAGCCCCTCCCTACAGCCAATAGGCCGATGATTCCATCCGATCACAGCCATCACCAACTACCTCATCCCGTATTGCCTCCACTACCCATCCTGTCCATTGGATATATCTCTCTTTGCTCGCCAGTCACCCATACTGATCCCGATCCCTCTTCGTCCTTCCCCCCTTCCCCCCTCTGCGTCTCCCCTGCTCCTCCGCGCCAGATCCCGACTCGAGGCCCGACTTGGCTCCCCCCCCCTCCCCCCGCCCCCCCCCCCCCCCCTTCCTGCTAAAGCAAAGCCTCCAGCCCACCCCACTCGAGCACTCTGTGGGCAAGCCCAAGGCTGCGTGGTGACTCCAACCCACTCCCTTGCCGAGCCCATGTCATCGTCCCCGACCCGTGCGCAGGCGCTCTTTGACCTCGCCTCGCAGTTGAAGCGGGGCGAGATCTCCAAGAAGGAGATGATGGCCCGCATCCAGAAGCTGGCGCGCGGCCGGTCGAAGGCCAGCAACAGTGCCACACAAAGCCATCCAAGTTCTTCTCATCATTCTACCTCTACGTATGTAGTTTGCGACTTATGTATCCCTCCCTTCCGTCCTCCCCATCCCGCTATGTTCCCCTCCCCCTGCGCGCCACTGCCATTCGGCTTTGCACTAACTTTTGGCGCGAGAACTCCGGCGGCGTCTGGTATCGGCTGGTGATGGGGGATGAAACAGTCACGCGGCAGCAGTCTCGCACTTGGTTGCTGCCAATCCGTCCGCCGCGCTCCATCCAGATGCGATGGCGGCGGCGGTGGCTTCTCGGTCAGAGGCAGCGCGATCGGGCACGTTGGTTGCGCCGGGCGATGAGGCTCTCGCCGAGCCGGCGGCTAAGCTGGCGGCATCAGCTGGGAGGCCCAAGACCGGGGCCGGCGCTGGAGGAGGGGTGACGCGGCCGCCAGTGCCGCACGAGTACGAGTTTGCGCTCACCGACTCTGCACCGACGGTGATGCGGTCGGAGCGGGTGGCGGAGGAGGTGCGGGCTGCGGCCGAGGCTGAACTGACGTTCAAGCCCAAGATTAACGCGGCCAAGGCGGCCAGGGTGGCCGGAACGTTCCTCGATCGCGAGAACGAATGGCTGGCTAAGCGCGAGTCGCGGATTGCATCGGAGCGGGCAGTCAAGGCCGAGTCTGAGCTCGACGGCTGCTCGTTCAAGCCGCGAATCAATCCGCGGTCCAAGTCGATGGTCTCGTCGCGCTCGGCGCGTGGGTCGTCGATGCAGGAGCGGATGGCGGCACGGGCAGCGCGCAAGGCCGCTAAGGAGAAGAAGATGCGCGAGGCCGAGGCCGCAAGGGAGGCCGCGGCGTGCACGTTCAAGCCCAAGATCTCGCGCAAGGCCGCGGCGGCCAAGGCGCGGTATTCGGCACCGGCGCGCAAGGTCGAGGCACCTGCGGCAGATCCGCAGGCGCACCACCCGCGAATCAACGAGCTGCCTGAGTCGTTTGTGAGCGCCAAGATGTATCTCGACCAGCCGGCGCACGAGCGATTGGCGTGCTCGCGGGCGCTGTCGCGAACACGCGGGCCGGCGGTGGAGCCGGCTGACAGGGGGCGGCAGCGGTCGCGCCGAATGCAGCCGTCGGCGGCAGGCTTTGACTCGTTCTGGAAGCGGCAGCAGGAGACAGTGGCGCGGCGGCAAAAGTCGGTGGCTGCGCTCGAGGCCGAGCAGGCTGCCGCGCTCACCCACCAGCCGGTCATCACGGCGGCGGCGTCCAAGCTTGTGGCATCGACCGGCTCGTCTTCCTTCATCTCGCGGTACTACTCGTCGGCCGCCAAGCGCGAGCTCTCACGCACGCTTTCGGACCTCGAGGCCGCAGGACTTGGCGGCGTGCCGGCCGAGTGCACCTTCCGTCCTCGCATCTCGCGCAAGGCCGCCAAGCGCGCGCCGCGGACGGTCCAGGAGCTCTCGCACGGCGACCTTGCCAAGCGCAAAGCCGAGCAGGCCGCTGCTGCCGCCGCCCTTGAGGCCGAAAAGGACGACGAGCTCACCTTTGAGCCGGCGCTCAATCTCCGCGCCAACGCCCGTGTCCAGGGTGCCCTCCGCGTCCGCGATGACCCGCATTCGTATGTCGAGCGCGTCGAGCGGGCGCGCGCCAAGCGCGAGGCATCCAAGCGCGCTGCCGCCGCCCAGCGCGCCGCCGCTGAGCTCGAGGACTGCACTTTCCGCCCGCGCGTCCACGACGCGCCCGAGTATGTCAAGCGCATCGCCGCGTCGCGCAGGGTAAGCAAGTCGCTGGTCGTCGGCGGTGACGCCGATCGCACCCGGCCGTCGTGGCAGTAGCCAGCAGCAGCCGACAGTACACACTACAAAAGCTGCAGCTTCGTTCTCAGCCGAGCCACTCGACACCCCACTCGGCATAGTTGCAGCACACGCTTCCGCCAAAACTCTCGCCAGTCATGGAGTTTGAGCAGCTGCTGGCCTTTGTTGCCCTGCTTGGCATGCTGGTTTACTTGTACAAGACGGTTGTCGTGCCCTTCCGCGCTGCGGGCCTCACCGTCTCGCGCGACTCGTAGCCCACGACCACCGTGCTGGGCCTTGCAGGAAGCGAGGCAAGCGCATTGTGGAGCTGTGGCAGAATATGCAACATGCATAGATCCACCAACCCGTGGGTCTGCTCTTTGCTGTCGCTGCCTGTGCGTGCCGCGATCTCTTGGCGCTGCGTTGCACCGGTGCACTTCAGCCAGCCCGACCTGGCAGACCTGACGAGGCGATGCGGTGTGCAGCCGATACGGATGGTGTGATTGATGTACACGGCTTCGGACGGGGGGGGCGGAGTCGGTTGTGATGTGGAATTCGGGAGGTAAAGGAGCTCAAGGACCACAGATCCCGTACTCGGGAATGCCTAGTCTATCTATCTATCACACACGTCCTGTGAGCAGAGCCAGTCTTGCCACAAGGAGGAGGGTGGCGGCGTCGACAAAAAAATGAGGTCCCAACCGGACTCGAACCGATGTTTTCAGGATCAGAACCTGATGTACTAACCACCTATACTATGGGACCGTTGGAAACACAGGGGAAAACTGAGCTATTAATAGCATACATTGGGTTGGTCATAGGGCAGCAAACAAACCAAGGCTCTGTTCGCTGGCCGCAGAACAGATAGGCCTGTCACACTGCACTGTATCATGAACGGATACGGATACGGACACGGGTACGGATATGGCCAGGGATTTTCGGCACACCCAAGCCCCGGGTATGGCTACGGTGCTCCCGTGGGAGCCGCCGGCTTCTATCGTCCTACCGGTTTGTGCCCGTACCCGACTCGGCTGGAGTACAGCAGTGGCAGCGCTGTTCCGCAGCCGGCAACGTCGGCGACGGCAGCGGCATCGGCGGCGGCATCACACCTTTTTGATCCGAGCCTGCTCTCCGAGGCCGCCGATGCCCAGCCGGGTGACGGGTATACTGTGCGACCGCTGGCGCGGAGCGACTACGCCGCTGGGCACTGCGGCGTGCTGGCGGACCTGACCGATGTCGGCGACATGGACGCCGCGACGTGGGCCGAGGTCTTTGACGAGATGGCAGCCGACGGCAAGTACTACGTGGTGGTGGTGGAGGAGGATGCGACTGGCATGGTCGTCGCCTCGGGCACCCTCGTTGTGGAGCGCAAGTTCATCCACGGGGGCGCCCGCGCCGGCCACATCGAGGACATTGTCGTCGTCGAGGCCGCCCGCGGCCTCTCGCTCGGCCGTGTCATCATCGAGCAGCTCAAGGCACTTTCGGTCGTCGTAGGCTGTTACAAGACCATCCTCGACTGCGCTGACAAGGTTGTCGGCTTTTACGGCAAGCTCGGCTTTGAAGTCAAGGGCAACTTTATGGCCGCCTACCACGACCACTGAGCACGGCGATCATACCGATCTTGCCGACTGTCTCAAAATAGCAAGCCCATCGGGTACAAGTCCGATGGCGAGACAAGCCTAAAGAACCAGAGCTACATTGTAGCCGGTTACTGAGACCAAAGGGCGCCACAGGCTGGGTGACTGCCACACCTGGGAACGCAGTGAGTGTTTCAAATATACTGGCTTGCCCCCTTGCACTCAAGCGGTCCCATAGTATAGGTGGTTAGTACATCAGGTTCTGATCCTGAAAACATCGGTTCGAGTCCGGTTGGGACCTCATTTTTTTTGTCGACGACGCCACCCTCCTCACCCGGCACCTCCTTCCCCCAAACCGCCATTTCGCACTGCTCACAAGCACCCTGCTATCCCGCCTACACCCTGTTCCGCCTCTCCTCTGCCATTTTGCCTTGCGTCGTGTGCCCAATCTCCCTGCGATCAAAATGCCCCATCGAGCTGGGCTTGGAGGGAGCCGACTCTGCGGCAGCGAGACAACGGACTGCTTTAGGGCTCGCGCCTCGAGACACCGAACTCTGTTGGAGTGAGACGCGAGAGAGCGATGGATCCGTACCGCGAGTCTGGGCTCAATCCCATCACTCAGACGTACAAGAGCGCAGACATGGAGGCTCGCGTAGGTTGCAGGTGTGTGCGAGCAGGCCAAACACGGGGCTGACGGCCCTGCTAGAGACTCACCACACCAACGTGGGACGGGCTGACAGCAACGAGAGCGGGAGGTGGCGCAGCGTGCGGCCATGGGACGGCGGCTGGCTGCACGCGGGAGCTCGGAGACGGGGGACAACCTGGAATCGTCGCTGGTGCCAACGGCCGAGGCCGAGACTGCGAGCTTTGGGCGCGTGGTGGGCCCTGCAGTCGGTGCGGCAGGGGCAGGGCCCGGCCAGCGGACGTCTGCGCAGATCCTGCAGGAGCAGTACGACTTTGACACGCTGACGCAGTCGTATCGGGCACCAGATAAGGAGGCTGCGGCGAGGGCAGAGGAGGCAGCGCGGCATGCAGCGCAGGTTCGTGCTCACGAACATGCCCGCCTGCAGAGTATCGAGGATCGATCCGGCTACAACATCGTCTCGCACGAGACGTCCAAGCCCATCCCGCCCAACTCGCTTTGTTTCCTCGATCCACCAGTGGATGCCGAGCGGACAACCGCCAACCATACCCATTACGACTTTGACGTCATCACCGGCGAGCCCAAGCCGCGCGACCACGCGTCAATCGAGCCGTCTGTCCGCGCTGGTCGCCGCCCGCCGGCAACCACCGACGACGCCAGCCAGGCTGCACGCCCACCACCCTCGGTCTCGGCCGCATACTCGTCGGCCCATCCTTCTCGCCGCACCTACGACATCCTCAACGGGCATGTCACCGCACCTGTGCCCGGGCCTGACGCGCAGCCGCGCGCTCGCGGCAAGCGCCGCGGTGGCAGCAAATACACCGACCACAACGACATGCTGGTCTGGGACGGCGCCCCAGTCCGGGATCAGCCGCCAGTCCTGGATGGCGACAGCTACAAGTTCTTTTGATCGCTCGTCTTCTCCGGCCGCATGACTAGCTCGTCTGGCTATTCGGCGATCGTGATCTCAGCCGACATACGTAGTGTGCAATCGAAGTCAAGACTGCAAGCAAGGGGACGCATGTGTACGCTCAACTTGGCGTCGACGACCGCTCAACGAGTGGTGTTGCCCTGCCCTGACCATGGCCCAGCCCTGCACCAACCAGCCGCACCAGTGCTCGCGCACATATCGGGGCAGGTCTATGGGCCTTGATGTCTTCTCCCAAACTCAGATCTGGTGCAATACACCCAGCCACGCCCCCCCCCCC